CATAAAACCATACGGGTTTTTAAATAACATAAAAAATGAATAAATAAAAATAATGAAGGTCCTGGTATGACTCTGTGCTATGGTTTTGCAAGAGGTTATCATTGGAGGAAACTGGGTCAAGGATACACAAGATCTCTCCATATTACTCCTTACAAATGCATGTGACTCCACAGTTATCACAAAATAAAACGGTTAATAAAATTTAAGAAAATATGAGCCATGAGGTGAAAGACCAATCGGGAGCCGAAAACCAGTATTACAGGCTTTATTAGGAGAGAAAGATCTGCCGGGCTGTCTGGGGCGGGGGGGGGGCACAGCAACCCGTGCAGAGGTGAGCACACCCTTTGAGGGGAGGAGTGGGAAGGAATGGGGGCTTAGGGTATTCGGAGTGCGCTGATTGGTGGCTTAATGTATGGTCCATATAAGGTACATGGTTAGTCACACCGGTATTTCCAGGCTGCCGGTTACATCATACTCCGCCCACCAGTTGGGGGAAGGGAGGATCTATCATGAGGAATATATATTTTTAATAAAAGTAAATGGATCTTCTAGAAATGGAAAAAAAAGAAAGAAAGAAAAAGTCATAGGCTGACTATAGAATTAGTAAGCTAGAAGAATGTTCCAAAAAATTTTGCAGAATGCAGCACAGAGAGAAAAAGAAATGGGAAAAACCTGTTAGGTTAACAGAGTAGGACAGAGAAAGGAGATCGATTCTCTTCTAAAATCTTTCCATAATAATCCTGTCCTGCCCGGTTTGGCTCAGTGGATAGAGCAGGGGTTCTCAAACTTTTTAAACAGGGGGCCAGTTCACTGTCCCTCAGACCATTGGAGGGCCGGACTATAGTTAAAAAAACAAAACAAACTATGAACAAATTCCTATGCACACTGCACATATCTTATTTTGAAGTAAAAAAACAAAAAGGGAACAAATACAATATTTGTATTTGCATGTGGCCCGCGGGCCGTAGTTTGAGGACCCCTGGGATAGAGCATCAGCCTGCAGACTCAAGGGTCCCGGGTTCAATTTCAGTCAAGGGCATGTACCTTGGTTGCGGGCACATCCCCAGTGGGGAGTGTGCAGGAGGCAGCTGATCAATGTTTCTGGCTCCCTATCCCTCTCCCTTCCTCTCTGTAGAAAATCAATAAAATATATTTTTTTAAAAAAGAATCCTACTTTGGCTGAAACAGAATTATTTCACAAATCCAGAAATGTCTACTGTTGTATGTTTGTTCCCCCACGTCCTGCGTGGTTTAGGGTTCAGGATCTGGAAGAGGAGCCGCACACAAATGAAAGAGAAGAGACAAGAGATAATTTGGAAATATTGGGGGGCCAGGTGGGCAAGTCCAACTCAAGGGGAAGGACTTCCACTGGTGCCCAGGCTTCGCCAGCCTTTTTTTCAACTTTGGTTAAACATAAAGCCCTTAGTCAGGCAGGTAATTGCAGTAACAGACAGGCTATCTTAAAGGCCAGTAAATAATAGGAGTATTTACTCAGACTATTTGGTCAGGAAATAGCTTGAGCCCCCATTGTCAGGACTAGACAATCGGTGCATAACTCAGGCCCTATCGTGGGTTCAAGGGTCACCAGCCTTCTGGGATCCTTGTTTGCACTTCTCTGCTAGTGAGTGGTCTCCTGCAGTCTACTGTCATGAAGGACCACACCAGAGAGAGGTGGACAAACCTAAGTGTACAGGGGGTTTTCACAGTGAACGTTGGGATAAACAGCACCCACAGAACATATAAGGCACCCCAGCAAGCCCTGTTAAATCTGAGTCATAAACTCCCCATCACCATCCCGCGTAACAACTATCTTGATTTCTAACACCACAGATGAGTTCTGTCCGTTTTTGAGGGAATGGACTATTACAGTGGACATCCCTCTCTACCTGGCTCTCACTCAACATTATGTCCTGAGTCTCATCCCTATGGCTGTGTGGGGTTGTAGTTTATTCACTCTCATGGGTATAAGGGGCTCCATCATAAGAACAGACCACACTTCCTGTCCTCTACTGCTCATGGGCATTTGTGTTGAACCCAGATTTTACAAATCGTGCTGCCATAAATAATTTCTTCATGAGTTTTGGCACACAGATTATGCATGTCTACTTGGTATATAACTACAAGTGGAAATGCTGATCATATTGTTAGCGAATGTTTGGGTGTAGTATTTTTCAAAGTCTTGGAAACAACTTACTCTTGTAATCTCAATATATGAGATAGAATTAGTTCCAATGATTGCCAATAGCTGATTTTTTCTGACTTTTTAATTTTAGCCATTCTGGGAGTGTGCAATGAAAGCAATGTGGGAAAACGCCTATTGTCTTCTCTAGCAGAGAGGTGTGGACAAGGAGCCAGGAATGCTGGTGACCTTTGAAGCCCTGGCAAAGGTCAGGGCTATGCACCCACTGTTTAGTTGAGACAATGGTAGCTGAAGCAACTTCCCACCAGATAGTCATGTAAATCATTACTAAGATAGTCTGCCTGTTAACTGGAACTTGCCTGCCTAAGGGCTATGGGTGTATCCCAAACTGAAAAAAAGGATGGCAAGGCCTGAGCACAAGCGGAGCCCATCCTCTTAGGATGGGCTCACGCCTGGCCCCTCAATTTCCAAATTATCTCTTGTCTTGTCTTTTTCATTTGTGTGCGGCCCTCTTCCAGATCCTGAACCCTGAAACATGCAGGACTTGGGGGAACATTCACAAATCAGGAAGTAAGAAGTTGCAGCCCAGCACATCAGGAAGTAAAGACAGGAAGTAAAGACAGATGTTACACCCTGCCTCTGCTGTAATAATTAAGTGTGGGGAGGGGCATGGTGGGCAGGGTGGACCAACCTCCCACCTCCTCCCAGGATGCTGATAGGAACACACACATTCCCATGTGTGTGTTTGCAGAAAGAAAGCAGATTATCTTGAATCACAAAGTGGCAGCGTGAATAAATCTCCCCTCATTCAGTCCCAGACAGGGAACCCGCCTCATGCTGTGGGAGAAAATGATCATGAACAAATTCAGCTTAATAACGCACTGCAGGTTCAATATGTCCCAAAGAATCCCCATCACCCAGTCCTGTCCCCTTTGCCCCAACCTCTCCTATTCTCACCTTTAGAAGCCATGAGAGATACATCAGAACCCTGGGAACTATTGCTGCCTGGGGTAAAACAAAACAGGAAGTAGTCAGAGCCCCCAGGAGAGACTAAGGGAGGAACTATGAAGGTGAGGTCCCCCATGGGCTCCCCTCTGCAGTGTCACAAGGTCTCAGGGGTCACCCTCCATACTCACTGGCAGCCTGAGCATAGCTCCCTCCTTTTCCACCTGTGGGAAGAAAACATCCTGTGAGAAGACAGGGAAGAGGCAGGGCCATGAGGTCCTAAAGGAACTCCTAGTCCTGGATCCCAGAGAAGTTTCTAGAACTGTAACTACAGACCCAGGGCAGAATCAGGAAACCTGAGGAAACTACACGTGTGGGGACTGGACCAGCCATCCTCCCAAAGGTCTGTCCTCAGCAGGGACCTTCCACCCTGACCTGGGAGTGCTGGGAACCAGGCCCCATCACTGGAATCATCAAGGTGATGAATCTGTCCCTCATTTCCACACGTGTCTTACTAAAGAGTGAGTGTCAGCAAATAGGGCCCCACACTGGGCAACCACACGTGTGGGGATGGTACTTGCCATTAATGAAGCAGAACACACTTCTACCTGGGCTTGCAACCCCCAGTGAGACAAGAAACTCAGGCCCCACCCCTTCCCTACCTGAGCGCTTCCTCCTCCACATCACAGCTCCAGTGACCACAGCTCCAGTGAGCACAGCTCCAAGGATGACCAGGCCCACAACCAGGCCCACAGGGGGGATGGTGGCCTGAGGAGGCGGCTCTGGGAAGGGAAGGGGAGGTGAGGGCCCTGACCCCCAGGCCTCAGCTCCGACCCCACTGAAGTCCCCCACAGGCCCCTGCTTCCCTGAGAAGAGGCTCTGTGCCCACGCCCCTCCTCACCCCATCTCAGGGTCAGGGGCTCGGGCAGCCCCTCGTGCTGCACATGGCACGTGTATCTCTGCTCCTCTCCACGGGGCACCACCAGGGCCGCCCACTTCTGGAAGGTCCCATCCCCCGCAGGCCTGGTCTCCACCAGCTCCATGTCCTGGGTCTGCTCCTCCCCATCACGCTGCCAGCTCAGGCTGATGTCCGCAGGGTAGAAGCCCAGGGCCCAGCACCTCAGGGTGACCTCACGGTCAGAGATGGGGTGGTGGGTCACGTGTGTCTTTGGAGGGTCTGAGGAGAAGGGGGAGGAAATTCAGGGACTTGGCACT